GTCTGAGTGGGGAGCTATTTCTGGGCCCCGTGCGCCCTCCTCTCGCGCTTCCTCAGACCTGTCCTCTTTGGAGATCTTGCCCCCACCCCCAGGAATGCGGATGGGGAGAGAGAATCACGGTCCTGGAATGAGGGGTGAGGGGTCCGGAACCCCAGGTGGAAGGTGTTGCTACACTGGGGGTCAGCTTTGGGACATCCAGGGTCAGGGTGCCGTGGGAATGACAAGTGGTCTGATTGGGGACAGGGACTTGGAGGAGGCCAGTCTGGTGGAGAGTGAAGTGCTAGGAGGAGGGGCCGCAAGGACGGACTCCGGCTGATCCTGACAAGGGCCACGGAAGGCATTGTGCCGGGGGCGGGACTCTGGGCCTGCACCCCAGGGGCCTGGTGCGGGTGGGAGGAGCTGTGGGCCAGGAGGGAGGAGCTTACCCCGCCTGCCAGCTGGTAAGAGGCAGAGCGCTGAGGCCCAGACTCAGGGTCTAAGGACTCAGCCAGGATTGGCTGGGTGCTCCCACTGACCCAGTCAGATCAGCCTCGTCTCCAGGTCTCCAACTCCATGACCTGTTCAGCACCTCTGCGGCTGACCAGCCCTGACCCAAGCCTCCACCTCCTCATTTTGTCACAAGATCTTCTATAGCTGCTCCCCAACAATACACTGAGACCCTCTCTCCCCCAGCCCACCCTCTCCTGCCCTGGCTCCCTCCTTGGGCCACAGCCTCTAGCTCCCTGGGTGGCCCTGAGCCCACATCACTCCACCCCTGACAACCATCTGCAGCCCTACCTGCAATTGGGCCATACCTCCCCAGGTTGCCCCTCCTCTCTGGACCTTGCCATGCCCTCTCCCACCTTCCCATCTGGGGCAGGGAGGCCCTTGGGCTCATCCTGGCTCCCACCACCCCAGCTCAGCCCTCAGACACCCTTACCCCACACCCTCTCTCTGCCTTCACTTCCCCTCTCCCCTCATTTCTTCTCAGCTCTGCTCAGGCCCTGACTCCTCCTTGGCTTCACAGCACCCAGCAGCTGAGATCCTCACCATGGCCAGCCCTGGGAAGCCTGGGACTGGGGAGGCCCAGGAGGAGGAGGGAGAGGAGGAGGGCTGTGCCCTAGGGCCACTGGTGGCGATGCAGGAGCAGGCTCAGGAGCTGTTTCTGCTGTGTGACAAGGAGGCCAAGGGCTTCATCACCCGGCATGACCTGCAGGTGAGTCCCCTGCCCCAAGAGGCTGCCCCACCCCAGGGCCAACCTGGGCTACTCAGCCCTGCCATCCTTGCCCAACCAGAGCCTGCAGAGCGACCTGCCCCTCACACCTGAACAGCTTGAGGCTGTGTTTGAAAGTCTGGACCAGGCCCACACAGGCTTCCTCACCGCTCGGGAGTTCTGCCTTGGCCTGGGTGAGCCTGGCCCCTGAGCCCCCACCCACCACCCCAATGCCCAGAGACCCTCCGCTAGCCACATGTGTGACTCTGGGGCCCACAGCCCACGTGGACAGCAGCCCGTGTCTCTCTGCTGCCTCCCTCCAGAAAGCACACAGGTGTCTGAACACACAGGCACCCAGAAAGCCCCCCGATGCTGTGGTGTGTGTGGAGATGACCCTCCTGCCCCCCATACCTCTCCCCGAGCTAAACCTAGGTAGGGCTGGGAGCTAGGCATGCCCCATTTTGGCCTAAGTCTGGCTGTCACCTCCCATTCCCAGGCCAATAACTGGGTCAGAATAAGGAAGAAAAACAGGAAACTGCTCAGCGAACGGGCAGGATATGTGTGTTGTGGAGGGGAGTGGAGGCTGGGCTGTGGGTGTCACTCACAGCCCTGATAATCTCTCCCTCTTATGGCTCAGGAAAGTTCGTGGGGGTGGAGTTGGCCCAGGGCACTCTGCCCTCCCGGGTTCCAGAGGAGACCTTCGAGTCAGGCTGGTCGGATGTGCAAGGCACCAGGGGCTCCCTGGAGGAGGACGATGAGGAGGAGAGATTCTGTGCTGCGCTGGAGCAACTGGGGGTGGCCCGGGTCCTGGGCGAGTGAGTCGGTGCTGGCGGGGTCCCAGCGCCCTCATCTGCTATCTCTCTACCTGCCTGCTGCCTGCGAGCCTGTTCCCATGCAGGGTCTCTGGCCCAGTCCTGCCCTCTCAGCTGCAACTACAGTGCCCCAGGCGTGATTTCCCACAGAATTTGCATTTCAGGAGGCAGCAGGCAAGGCTGCACCCGGCACATGGCCATGCGCACACGGGCACAGCCCTGTGTACACGACACCTGGTCACACAACCCCCGCACACGCACAGACCCCTGGCACCCAGGGGAGGGATGCCTAGCTTGTTCAAAGCTGCAGGGGCCTCTGGGGGGCTTACCCTTCACGGTGGAGTGGGCAGCCCCCCCCCACCTCAGCCCCTGCCCGCCCTCTCCAGGCAGCAGGCAATTAGGATTCTCTGGACCCGGCTGCAGCGTGAGCGACCAGAACTGCTAGGCTCCTTGGAGGACGTTCTGCTGCGCACATCAGCCTGCCTGGAGGAGGCAGCCCGAGAGCGGGACAGCCTGGAGAAGGCGCTGCGGCGGTGAGGGCTGGGGCGCAGGGGGCTCCCTGGAGGCCAGATGGAGGAGCTGGGGGCTGTAGTGCCGGCATGTACGAAGCCGCTGTCTCACCCCCGGTTCCCTGAAGGCGGGAGACCGAGCACGAGAGGGAGGTACGGTGTCTGTACGAGGAGATGGAGCAGCAGCTTCGGGAGCAGCGACAGCGCCTGCGGAGTCAGGTGGGCCCGCAGCGCCGCCCCGCGCCCGGCCCAATCCCAGACCCGCGGGTCTCCCTAGCCCCGCCTTCTCTGAACTGTTCCCACCCGCCCGGCTCCGCCACCCGCGGAGGCTCAGGTGTCCGCGCGCGTCCTAGGACCTCCCCCGCGAGGAGCGGAGAGGCCGCCTAGAGCAGGAGCTGCAGAACCGCGAGCAGGAGCTGGAACGCGCGGGGCTGCGGCTGCAGGAGGTGAGCGGCCGCCGGCCTGCCCGGGCCGGGGGGTTGCACAGCGGCCACGCCCATGCCCCCATCGCCACCGTCACCCGTGCACTCCCTGGCATGCTTGAGGTCCTTGTGCCTGTATCCCCAGCCCCTGAATTGTTGGGCGTTAGGGGCAAACGCAGCACCCCGGGGACGTGGGAGATTTCTCTATAGCCTCGATCCCCTCCACACCCCCAGCTGGAACAGCAGCTGCAGACCCGGGCCACGGAGCAGCTGGAGGTGCAGGCACAGAACGCCCAGCTGTGGCTGGCTAACGAGGCGCTGCGGACACAGCTGGAGGGGGCACAAGAGCAGCTCCGCAGACTGGAGGGCGACGTGCAGGGCCGCCGGGAGCAAACCCAACGGTGCCGGTGGGGGTGGGGGAGAGGTTGGGGCGGGTGGCGCTTGGGGCTGAAGGCTTCCATCCCCATCCCATCCCAGCCCTGCCACCAGGGTCTCCGTGGGGCAGGGTCCTCTAAGGGGTCATGGGGTACCCCAAGGAGCCTCCCTGCGTCCAAATCACTATCTCCCTCCTGCAGAGATGTGGTCGCCGTCTCAAGGAACATGCAGAAAGAGAAGCTCAGCCTCCTGCGGCAACTGGAACTCCTCAGGTGCGTCAGGAAGGGGTCAGCACAGCCCCTCGGAGCTCCTCGCTCCCAAACATTCCTGATCACCCCATCCCATCCCAAGAAAGCCCTTCCTTGTGTCTGCCCTCCATCCTTCATGCTGCACCCCCACCAGACACCTCTCTTCTGGTATGACGGAGAGGCACCCAGGAATGCTGCCTCTTGAGGCCTCTCAGAGCCCTTGGACTCCTGTTCTCCAGGGAGCTGAACACAAGGCTACGAGACGAGACGGATGTCTGTGAGGCCAAGAGGCTGGGCAGTGGCCACGGGAAGGCTCTGACCACGGCTCACCTGTTGGGGCCCACCTGCTGCTGCTGCGGGAGCTGGGTTCGGCCCCCCAGACGCGGCTCTGGCCACCTTCCCAGTGCCCGCTGACCGGCCCGGGTGACTCACTGGGCGTTACTTGGTTACTTGAAGAGGCTGCCCCTTGAAGGCAACTCGTCATGGCTGAGGGCTGCTCATCCAGAGTGTGGGTTCTACCCAGTTGACTGCCTGGGCTGCCTGACTTGCAGACATGAAGGAGCTAATCCCAGGGTGGTCAGGGTCTCATGTGCCTCCCTCAAGGTCCTCGTCCTATCCCCATCCCATCAAAACCAGTAAGCCCCGCCCCAATCCAAATAAAGTCCACTGACTGCACCTCCTCGGCCTCCTGTGTGCGAACCACAGCATTTGTGACGTACACCTAGGTGTCCACGGTATATGCGTCTCCCTGGTCGTCTCCCTGAGCCCTCACCGTCTGTCAGAGCTGAAGCCCCACCCCACAAGCACTCTGTAGGGACAAAGGGACTGAGGCCACTGTCTCCCAGAAAGCAGCGGATGGGGTTTCCTCCCTGCTCCCAGCCTCAGTCAGCCGCCCCCACCCCATGTCCTCACAGGGCCCTGGGTGGGCTAGCTAAGCCCGCTGGAGTCCTGAGTGGAGCCGCCTGGGGTAGGCCTGGAGCTGCCCCCCCCCACCCGTGCCCCTCCTCCTGCCTGGGGAGCTGGCAGCTGCCAGCCCGAGCCACCGGCAGGGAGCTGGGGGTGAGCGCTGCCCACTGTCCATGGAGAGCCGCTCCAGCCCACTGTGCAGACTCAGACACGCCTGGGACTCCCCTTCCCCTCCCTACTCCCACTCTCAGCTTCCCAGTTCGGCATGTCAGCAGGCGCCGCCCTTTCTCCCTCACATCTTCCCACCACTCCCAGGCGGATGCCCTCCAGACTGGACTACCTCTCACATTGACCCTAAGCCTCCCCTCCAGGCCGTCCTCCAAACTACGCCCAGAGGACTCCTCTCTGCATCTGACCATACCTCCAGACCCTCCCCTCATCTGCTCTGCCGACCCCTGCAGACTCCGGGTCTTGGACACAGCCCAGGGCCTCGCTGGCCTGACCGCCTTCCCCCCCGCCCCTTCCCGCCACAAGCGCAGCTCCCCCCGAGGGGGCTGGCCCTGGCTGGGCTGTGGGCACCCCCGGGCTGCAACTCTCCCGGCCTCGGCAGCCTCGGGTGGACCCCAGCGCCTGCACAAGGCGGTGTCCCACCGGCTTGAGCGCGCGCGCGCGCGCGCGTCGAGCTTTGCTCAGACCTGCCGGGCGTCGGCGGCCGTGGGCGGGGCCTGCGGGGCTGGGGCGGGGCCCTGGGCGTCCCGGCGCGTCTCGCTCGCAGCCTCGCGGCCGGCCGCGCATTCTCCGCGCTCGGAGCCGCCGCCGCCGACGGCCCGACTCCAACGCGTGGCTGGTGAGTGCGCCGCCTGGCCCGGCCGACCGGGAAAAGCTGCGCGCCCCGCGGCCCTGCTGGCCGTTTCCGGAGGGAGAAGGGCGCCGGGAGGCGGGGCGCGCGGAGGGTCCACAGAGCGAGGGCAAGGCGCCTCCCGGGTCCTCGATCAGGCCTGGCGGCCCCCTCGGGCCAGCGGTTCCACCTGAGCACCGCACTCGCTGTGCGTGGACACGGGTCCCCTTCCCTCCGCCCGGTGCAAGTGGGCGGTCCGTGTGCTGCGCCCGGCGTGGGGGGCGGCGGCGGCCGCGGTGACTTCATCGCGGTGACGCGCGAATTCCTCACCGGGCCTGGCTGGAGCGGAGCGCGGAGTCCCCCGCCTTGGGGCGCGGGCCGCCGACGGGCCCTGTTGAGCGGCGGGGGCTGGGGGCGGGACAGCTCTGTCCCAGGCCGCAGGAACTATTTTTGGCCGGCCCTTTCCCGGGAGGATCGTCTCCACCAGACACTCCCGGAAAGAGCAGCCCCTCCTCGGCCGGCCTCCGGTGGGCGGGCCGTGGGGGCCGGATCTGTTTCTGGGAGCAGCCTCCCCAGAAGGCCTAGGGCCTCAGAGCAGGCTCCCGCACCCCGCAGCTCTGTGGTAGGGGTCTGCGCCTTCTTTTCTTCCCAGGTTGCTGCTACTGTTGCTCGGTGGGGGAAGGGGCAGTGACAGTTCTGGTGCTGAGGCCAGAGTGGGGTGCATGGAGGAGGCGCGTGGTCCCTCCCAGGGTCGGACTGTCCAGAAATATCCTCTGCCCTGCCCTGCCTCTCCCTAGCCCAGACCAAAATACGCAGCCTGGCCGCTCCCCTCTCAGCCTGCTCTGGAAGCCCAGCTCCGGTCCACTGCCTGGGTGGGCCACAGAGAGGGGTGGCAGGATCCCGCCCATCTGGGTTGAGTCAGACCTGCGACCTGTCCCTGCTCTTCTAGCGGAGCCTTCTCAGGAACGTCTGTCCATCTGCCTTACAGAGCAGCCCCCCTAGCCAGGTGAGTGTAGGGTAGGGTGGGTCAGAGTCCAGCTCTGTTGGCTCTTTGCCTGTCTGGAAATATGGCCCTGGTGCTCAGCCGCTGTCTGTGCCCCACAGCCCTCCTCCCACTCTCCCCAGTGCAGACACCCCGGAACAGAGTGGGCAGGGGAGGAGAACAGGGTGCCTCGAATAGGTGTCTCGGGGGAGGAGCACTGCCTGGAGCTGCACTTATCCCTGGGGTCGGTGTGGCTGTCCGGGTTCCAGGGATGAGGGCGGCACTGAAAGCCCGCAGCTCCATCTGCCTCGCACCTTTCCTTTCCCCTGAGGCCGCAGGACTAGGTTAGAAAGGGGCAGGTCAGTCCCCTCCAGCAGCCGGTAGGTTCCTGCCAGCTCGTGACATGGGGTCCGGGGAATGCTGGGTGGGGTGAGGAGCCTGCATGAGCTCACTCGGAGGTGCCTGCTGGGGCTTCCTACCCTGGCTGCCAGCAGAGGTGAGTCAGCCGCCGATGGCTGTGGGTCCTTCATGCTCCCACTGCTGGGCTCTGGGCAGGGAAGCCAGGCCCTCTGTCCTTTAGCTGGGCTCTGGGCGCCAGGGGTCTGCCCTCACTACGGGAGGACTGGGGGCTCTTGAGCTGCCCTCCCAGGAAATGTCCTGGTTCCCATGGACACTGTCTCAGAGCCCCTGTCTAGGGCAGGACCCAGCCTGGGGCTGGCCTGGACACTTGTGTCCCCTCCCTCCATCCTCACTGGTGGCTGGTGGTTCTCCCAGGCAGGCCCTGCCCCACCTCCCTGCCGCTAGGATGGGTGAGTTCAGCGAGAAGACCATGACGTGCGGCACTGTCTGCCTCAAATACCTGCTCTTCACCTTCAACTGCTGCTTCTGGGTGAGGAACAGGCACCCCTCCCCCGACCTCGAAAGTTGCCTGGCCTGGGTCAGCCCTGTCTCTCTGCCCTGGGGCCAGACATGGTGACTGGTGTGCACTGCCTGCAGCTGGCTGGTCTGGCCGTGATGGCAGTGGGTGTCTGGACGCTGGCCCTCAAGAGCGACTACATCAGCTTGCTGGCCTCGGGGACGTACCTGGCCACAGCCTACATCCTGGTGGTGGCGGGTGTTGTCGTCATGGTGACCGGTGTTCTGGGCTGCTGCGCCACCTTCAAGGAGCGGAGGAACCTGCTGCGTCTGGTCAGCAGGGTGTGGCCAGCACAGAGGTTGGGGGGTCAGGAGGGTACCCACTGGGGCTCCATGCCAGGCTGCCTGGGGCTGGCTCTGGGCCCCTGACATGGTTGAGCATGACCTTGCAGGACAGCCTCTGCTGTGCTCACTTGGGGGGTATCCCTTCCCACCTACCCAGCCTTGGGAGTCCGCACATCCCAGCTGGGCCAGCCAAGGAAGACACCTGAAAGATAGCACTGTGGGTGTGGCAGTTCCCCAGCCCTTGCCTGCTGCCTAGAGCCCTCACTCTGTGGCCACTTGGGAGCTGAGGGAGGTGGTTCTACTCTGTTATGCCTGGTTGCTAGGAGTCCTCATGGAATGGGATGTCTGGGTCCCACCCCACCTCACGGCATCCCCACCTCTCCCCCCAGTATTTCATCCTGCTCTTCATCATCTTCCTGCTGGAGATCATTGCTGGAGTCCTGGCCTATGTCTACTACCAGCAGGTGCGGGGCTCGGACAGACCACGTGGGGACCTGGACGTGCAGGGACACACACAGGGACACGCACACGCAGAGATGGACATGTGCAGGCAGATGACACACGTACATGCACACAAGGACACAGACACCCACACACTGGGACATAAACTCACACAGGGCATGCACACCCAAGAAATGGACACTTGTGTCTAGAGACACACACACACGTGGACTGGAAAGGACAAAGATGTGCACAGACAGGGACTAGCATATGCACACAGGACTCCATGCACTCCAGAGCTGACCCTGGAGGTGGGGGCTGGGTCACAGGGAGGTTGGGCTACAGGGATGGACAGCTTGTCTGCAGCACCCAAGCTCCCCACTTGGGGACCCCTGGGGGAGGCAGGTTTCCATGGCCCTCTGGGTGACCCTCCCAGCCCACCTGATCCCCCAGGATTGTCCACCCCAGCCAGCATCTGACCCCAGCTCTGCGCGGGGCCCTCCTGCGCCTCTCCCCTGTCTGTATCCACCCCCATCCTGCCCCACCTCTGAGAGCCTTCGACTTTGTGGGTGAAGCTGTCACCACCTCACCCCAGCTGAACGCAGAACTCAAGGAGAACCTGAAGGACACCATGACCAAGCGGTACCACCAGGAGGGCCATGAGGGCGTAACCAGCGCTGTGGACAAGCTGCAGCAGGAGGTGGGTGGGCAGTGTGGGGGCCTCTGCAGGGGCCCCAGCTGCGGGGGTGCCTGGGGTTGGGGCTCAGCCTGGGCCATGTTCTTGCCGCAGTTTCACTGCTGTGGCAGCAACCACTCGCAGGACTGGCGGGACAGTGAGTGGATCCGTTCAGGCAAGGCAGGCGGCCGCGTGGTCCCTGACAGCTGCTGCAAGACGGTGGTGGCCGGCTGCGGGCGGCGGGACCATGCCTCCAACATCTATAAGGTGGAGGTAGGCTGGTGGGGGCTGCCTGAGGTGTGGGGGTGCTGGTGTGGCCACAGCCCCTGAGGGGCCTGGAGGACTCTCCTTGCCTTCAGCACACTCCCATCCCTGGCCAGGGCGGCTGCATCACCAAGCTGGAGACCTTCATCCAGGAGCACCTGAGGATCATCGGAGCCGTGGGCATCGGCATCGCCTGCGTGCAGGTGCGGGTGTGGGCAGGGCGGCCTGGGGACCAGTGGCTGGCTGGTGGCTGGCAGCCAGGGCCGCTCACGCTGGCTCTGTGGCTCAGGTGTTCGGCATGATCTTCACATGCTGCCTCTACAAGAGTCTGAAGCTGGAGCACTACTGACCTGTCCGCGGGCCGCCGGCCTCGCCGTGCTGCTGCTTCTCACTGATGCGTAGACTACTGAGCTGACGCTCCGGGCGGCTGGCCGGGGAGCCGCGGGCCCGGGATGCGGCCCCTTCCCCTCCCACTTTGGCAGGGAGATCTTGTCCTCACGCCTGGGCCCCCGCCGCCGTGCCATCACCAAGACCTCTGGGGACCCCCAGTCCCAGAGGGAGCTTCAAGTGCCTTTAGCTGCACACCAAAGTCCTAAGGCCTGAGGCAGGGCTCCTCCTGTCTGCCTGTCTGCCTGTCTGCCTGCCGGGGTGGGTGGAGCTGATGGGATGTGGGGATTGAGTTCTGATAATAAAGCCCCCCTTCGCTGAGGCCACCTCCTTTGGGGTGGGATCCTGGGTCCTTGGGTTGCTCCCGGATGCGTATTCAGTTAGAGGGACCAGTTTGATGGACAGAAATGGCTGGCCCACCCAGGGTGCTCCCTGTCCCCTGGATAGTGGTCATGGGCAGCACCAGGAAGGGCAGGGCTGGTGAGAGTCGGTGTAGGGGGATGGCAGGCAGCGGCAGGTGAGGCGCCCCATGTGCCCACCCCCAGAGCCCCCCAGGTATTGGGGGCCTCTGGTTAAGCCACCTCCACCCCTCTGGGGAAGCCAAGCAAGAGCCCTCTCCCAGGTCACTGTTGTCTCCCCTTCCCTGGAGCAGCTCTGTGGGCTTTATTCACTGCTGTCTGACCACGCCTAGGACTGCTCCTGCTGTGTACTGGGTGCTCAATAAACGCCTGTGGACCCGATCGGGGAACTCTACGTTAATGATGGAGATGGTTCTGGTCCTCAAGGCCTTCATGTCTTGCAGGGTGGACAGGACTACCCACCTCGTGCCACAGAAAAGAAGTGCAGAGGCCCAGGCGTGAGCTGAGAGCTGGGGATGCAAGGGAGAGGAGGCCAGTGGCAGGGATGAGCACAGGCTCTGGTGCAGAGCCCTGGCTGTCCATGGACCCAGTGACGGGTATGGCCAAGGCCCCACGGAGGAAGTGGACGTGGACCTCAAGTGGCTCAGGCCGCTTGTGGTTCCAGAGGTCCTTCTGGCCACTGTGCAGGGACCAAGTGCAGGAGAAGGTAGAAGAGAGGTGGGGGAGGGGAGTGGAGGTGTTTCAAGAGTGAGTTGGGGTCCGGAAGGACACATGCTAGTGCTGGGCCCAGAGGGGCCATCACAGGCAGACTCCATCTTCCCCTTGAACCGGTTTCCTCATCTGTGGTCAGAGGACCACTTCAGGCATCTGGGCCGGCCCTGAGCAAGATACCCTCTGCCTGCTGGAGGGAGTGGGCCTGCCTCACCCCTCCCATCCCTGCTGCAAGGCAGCTTCTGGCCACTTCTTCGCATGGAGTGTTAATGCCTGGGACAGTGGGAGCTCATCCAGCCCCTCCTCTGGGCACCTGCAGCCCACGGCGGGGTCTACAGGCAGCCTGTGGAGGTTGTGCAGCACTTGCTCGCTGTGGAGGGGAGAGGCCTGCTGGGCTCCGGCAGAGCCTGGAAGCTTCTGACAGCAGTGCCCTCCAGAGGGGCCCCTGTAACCACAGCAGGCACTCTGTTCAGGGCTCAGAGAATCTGGTTCTTTAGATTTAGATCCTGGGGGAGAGGATGTGAGGACCTCTGCCCTCAGCCTACGGAGCACCCAGAGCACTGATGTGGGGATGCCATCAGCCCTTGGCCCACAACCCAACCACTCACAGTCTATGCTTTTCGTGGGGCTGAGTGCAGCCTCCACAGGAAAGCTAGCCCGGCAGAGCATGGCCGTGTGGATGGGGGCCCTGTGCATATTTCTCCCTCCTCCTGGGCAGTGAGGGCCGAAATCACCTCCGCTGGCCTCACGCACAAGGCAGGACACAGGAACAAAGCTAGGCCAACTCTTAGGACCTCCAGGTAGCCCTCAAAAACCTTTATCGGATGGTTCTTTCCAGAGAGGGAGATGCAAGCTGACAGGGCTGTGGGCAGGCATGGCTTCCAGGTCCCCACACCAGGGGGGACGAGCTGTGGGCAGGATGCTGTCTGTTGGGCCCACATTACTTCTCCAGGGGTGCGTAGTTGAGCAGCTTCTCGATCAGGTCCACGTGGGCCAGCAGCATGCGGCGGCAGCAGTAGCGCTTCAGGCCCAGCGCATCCAGGGCATCCCTGCGGGCGGGGAGAGCTGGCTGCTGCCCGGCCGTCCTGGCAGACGGAGGGCCTTGCCCAGGCCAGAGCGAACTGCCTCCCCCCACCCCCGGCTGACCTTCCCTCAGCTCTGCTCCCCGTGTCTCTCATTTCCCACAGACGCAGCCCCAGTCACCTCCCAGGCCTCCAGTGTGCAGAGGCAGCAGCCTGGGAAAGGGGAGGCCGGCGGACAGCCCCTGCCCCTGGCATTCCAGGGAGGGGTCCCGTGCAGGCTGCCACATTCACTCGCACTTAAGTTATTCCAGCAGCCTCCTCAGAGCCCGCTGCAAATCCTCAGCCCATCCATGGCTTCCCCTCTCATCCAACAACGTGCAAGTGGAGCCTGTGGCTCGCCCCCAGGGCCCAGAGGTCAGACTCTAGTCGGGGGGCAGAGATGCAGAAAAGGCATAGTGATGACTGCAGCGCTAAGGGGCAAGCACAGAAATGGGACCCCCAACAGCAGCCTGGTGATGAGGACTATGGAGTCAGAAAGCTCGTCCTAAAGAAACCAGTGAGTCTGCAGGACACGGGGTTGGGCCTAACGGCAGGGAAAAGAAGTTACTGAGCAGATGGGCAGAGGCGGCTGGGGGCTCATTTGCCGTAGAGAGGCGCCGGGACTCGTCACGACACCTAGAAGCCGCCAGACACCAGCGGCTTGATGCCCAACTCCCCTCCTCTCGCCCAACTAACTGCGGGGCCGCGGGGGAAAGGCGGCGGCAACGCTTCCCCGAGGGCAGGTCTGGAGAACAGGGATGGAAAACTCCAGGACTGAAAGCTCCTGCGCCGGCCCCGCAGGCCCGGACCGCTGATCCCCGGGCCGAGACGCCGGCCCCGACCGAAGTCCGGGAACCTTCCCCCACACCACGACCCGCAGGCTCGCGGCCTGGGGAGCGCTTCCCGACCGCACTAGAGCCCCCTCCCCGCCGGCCCAGCGTCTCACCCCTCGGTGTACTCGGCCTGCAGCAGCCCCAGGTAGGCCTCCCACTTGTTGCCGACAATCTTGCCGCACGTGAAACAGCGCACAGGGATGATCATGGCGGTACCGGAGCAGTCAGCCGATCAGCTCCTCGATCC